CATATTTTTTGTAATTATTTTTAGATGTATATTATATTATATTAATTATATGGTGCCACCGTATAGAAAATTTTCTGGGTCCGTCCCTGATTAACCCTAGTCTAACTTATTGTTTCGGACCCTTCTAGCAATCTATTCCAAACTTCTCAACTGGAATTCAAACAACATTCTTTTTTCCTCCTTGAAAACTAAGTTATTTCGATGAGACCGAATCATATATAAAACTGACCGCACTACTGTTATCCACAATCCCTACCACTCGGAATTTCCACTTGTATGCTCCTCTTTACTAAAGAGTGATTCACCGTTTCTATCGACCGTTCACATTGAGGACGAAGTGTAGAATGAAGATTTATTCCATCTCATTTAATACTGATCTGCAAGGTAGCCTTCCAAAATTAGTGCAAGTATTATATGATCAATATAGGCTATTAGCAACATATGTGACTTGTCCAAGCAACACTTAAATAAATACTCAATTAGACCCACATGGCCACACATACCAAATGTGAGTTTTATGTGATATGAAACTATGATATTACATATTCCAGTATATGATGAAACCACAAGGGTGGTGGCGTGGTGCATAAAGACAATGCGATGATAAAACTAATTCAGGTTCACATCATGCCATCTACATGTACATTCATAGCTATTAAAAGATTTAGGGGTCGTTTACCAAACGCTTACCCGTGTAAGCACTTACCAAGTCACATTAGTTTACCAGATGAATATGGTAAGGACCAAGAATCTTACCCAGTAAGAGCGAGACAAGGACCAAGAGTCTTACCCGACAAGTGAGAGCGACGACTCTTACCAAGGTAAGCGCTTACAGGATAAATTATTGTATACGATTACTTTTGATGGACTAAAATCTTGTCTGGTAAGTAACTGATAGTGTTGAAATTTACTGATAAATGCTTACTGGGTAAGTGTTTGGTAAACGACCCTTACTCAGAGGTTATAAGCGAAGCTTATAGTCCACACTTACCATGAGATTAGTCTGGACCAAAATTTAATCCGTCCTTCCAAAAAAGTAGGATATGACATCTCATCATCAAATATAGGACCCTGGCTGCAATTATTAGTAACTGAAAGAATTATGTGGTATTTAAATTTCTACAGATATATCATGTGATGTTTAAACATTTGTTAACAATACTTTAAAATGATTCTAAGAAGATAACTAGAACGATGTATCGTTACAAATAAAATATATTTTAGAAGCATGTTAATGTTTAATATATTTCTAAACATGTTATCAGATGCATAAATTTGGCCAAAATATAACGTGTTGATTTGTTAGTGTAATGATTGATTTCTCTCTCAAATAATTGCAGTGACTATTCAGTTGTTCATAATTTGTACACATCTTGATTGACAATCAGTAAATTTTGCAACTGTTGATAATATGTATGTCAAATTATACTGATATTTGTTGATTAATATGATGAAATGTCATATTAAAATCAACTGATATCACATGTGTTGAAAATATAATAGAAAAAATGGAGTGCTTATTATGACAAGGAAAAACTTGTAGTTATATTTATATAATTTGTCATATAAAATTTTATTACATATATAGGGTATATTTCAAATGTAACCATGTCCATTTGTATAACAAATGCAACTCAATCAATTTAAGTATTTATAGAAATAGTGAGAGTTCATTTATTCTGATTTGAATATTTATGAAAGATGACTATAATTTACTAATTATGATCAATAATTTATATTAGGAAACAATCAAAACTTTTATAAAATCACATATTCATCAAATTAAATGGACGATTAAGATTAAGTTGTATTGGTTGTACAAATATAAAAAGTTGTATAATAACTCACCCCTACATATATATATATATATATATATATATATTAAAATATTTAAAAAGATATAAAATTTATTTTGATAAAAAAATTATTTTCCCTCTAAAAAATCAACAATGGGAAACCGAGAGAGAGAGAGAACAAGAACTTTAGCTCTCTCTTCCGATGTTCACGAACCCTAATTTTTCCCATTTCCGTTCGATCAGTCTTGATGGATGCACCCCCTTTACGTCTCTCAAATCTATGATCTGTTTGTCCTGATTTTTCTTGAATTCATTTGATTAGGTTAAAGTGAGCTTGAATCAGATCTGTAATTTCTTCCGGAATTTGAGAAATATCTACATATATATACGAATACACCAAGATTCATGTACAGGGATCGAGGTGGATCATCGGCGAAGTCAGAGATGGTGGGAGGCGGAGGAGGTGGGCCGTTGGATCGGAAACGAATCAATGACGCGTTGGATAAGCACTTAGAGAAGACATCGTCACCCTCGACTTCTAGGGTTTTGAATAGTAATATCAAGGAGAAAGAGAGATTGTCTATGCCATCAACTTCTGCAGCTGGTGCAGGTGGCAAATCTCATCACATGGACCATCATCGTGACAACCGTTCCTCCTCTACTGTTACCAACCCCAAAAACAAGTGCTCCGATGGTTTGTTTTCTTTTGAAAAATCTTTAGTTACCGAATGGGTTGCCTTTTCCGCTGTTTTCGTTCTGTGAAATATATTACCCGTAGAGTTTTATGATTGTAGATAGGTGGAAGGGATGCGTATTTCCAGAAGAATAAATGTAGATAAATTCCTTGCATTACCTTTTTTTGGTCATATTCGGTATTTTATGGCTAATTTTCTACATCTTGTTCGTGTGAGGATATATATTTCTAGAGAGTATGCATATATGCACTTCATCAATTACGGATTTTTGGATTGTTGTGAGCAGTTTAAGAGTCTTGTTATGGGGAAATTTTAAATAGAGAGGCACAATCTGTATATTTCTAATAACTTTGAACATAAAAGGCCCCCTTATGATTTAAATCGATTTGAGAATAATCATATCCTGTTTCAATTAATATCTCTTTTACTGCTGTTAGACATTCCATGGAACTTGTATTCATGCTTATCTTGCATGAATGACTATATGGCTATGGTTGGGTCTAATGCCAATGCAGGGACGGACCCAAGAATTTTTGGACACAGTGGCACCATATAAAACGGTTGCATCTTCTAGAATAAAACGGTTACACCTTTCACGAACCTAATTTTTTTTACCTTACCACAGAGGAACAATACGGTGGCACGTGCCACCTAACCACCCCTCTAGGTCTGTCTATGCCAATGCTAGCCTGTTTGATCAGTTATCTGTCTCTCGCTTTGTAAAGTCAATTAGCCATTTAATGCATGTTTAACTCTATAATAAAACAGAGGCACAATGTGCTCACAAATATTAGTGTTAGTAAAATTGGGATGCGAAGTGTTTCTGATTGGGATAACACATAATGTACACATGCTTTTTTCTTTTTTTGGACTTCTAAGGCAGTAAGGCATGCCTTGTTTTGTTTTGGCATAAAATGAAGTCATCATCATTTGGGTGCATACTTTTTTTGTGTAAAGAGTAAAGACAATATAAGCTTACTTTTAGTTGTACTTTTTTTGTGGGGTGCATAACGTATTATGTGATAGTGCCCATCTTTTTTTTGCCAAACAAGCATGATCTATTCACTTTTGCTTTTAATTGCAGATGAATCTGAAACAGACAGCGAGGAGTCTGATGTTAGTGGTTCTGATGAGGACGATACATCTTGGATTTCATGGTTTTGCAATTTGCGAGGAAATGAATTTTTCTGTGAAGTTGACGATGAGTACATTCAAGACGATTTTAATCTCTGTGGGTTAAGCAGTCAAGTTCCTTATTTCGATTATGCACTTGATCTAATCTTAGATGCAGAATCTTCTCATGGTAAGCTAGATTCCTGATATTTTTGACATCTTTTCTGAACCTTAGATAGTTGGATATTGACTATATTGTTGGGGTTCTTATAATTGTTCTTTCTCTCTCTTATAAGGCTGTTCTTTTCTAAAGAACCACCGTAATTTGGCAAAATGCCTTCAATTTATCTTTCTAGCATTAAAACAGATTGTAAGTGGGAGATTAGGAGTTTCTGAAAGAGCTAACTAGTTATGACACTCACCATTTAACTCGTTCGTGTGTACTAAGTGATATTTTGCAAAAGCACTAATTGCCAACAATGATGGTTTCTAAAGCAATAATTCAATTAACAAATAGATTATCAATTGCCAACGTAGTTGGTATTTGGATATAAGTGTGAAAATCTCTTATAAGTGGAAAATTGCTTCAATCTGTAGCATGTTTCAAGGTCAGAGGTCTGTGTGAAAGAGTTGATAATTGAAATTTCAGACCTAGATTAAAACTTACAGCGTTTTCTAGACTTCAGTGACTACAATTATTTACAGATGATTGAAGGATGTTTATGGATACACATTATTGCTGTGATCTATTTTTGTAAGGGTACAAAGTCTGTATTAGCATGCTACTAAGTACTAAGAAGACTGATCAAGTTTGTGGTCTTTATTTTGATCTGAGAATTTGGATTTATTTAATAGACAAAATTTTCAGATGATTCTCACCGGTGATCAAGATAAGTAGATTAGCACTATAGACAACCAAATTGGGTTATTATCATACTTATTAACACACAAAATACATTGCCAGGTAACTTTCATAAATATAAGAGGAGCTAATATGCTTCTTTTTCTTAGCTTATAAATGTTCCAACTATTAGAAAAGCTCTTACATTCTAATTTTTTCCTTCCACAACGTTAATCTGCAAGGTATCTTTGACCTTTAGCACAAAGACAATGTTGTCAAATCCATTTGTCCCTATTAGTGTATTGCATCTCAAGTTTGACTATCTAGTATATAAAGGCATGAAGGTGACTACCCTTGACTAGAGATCAATTTTTATCCTTTTCAATAAGGTGTCCATAAAGAATTTTTGAATTGTCACTAGATTTTCCCTAATGACTTTAGAAGCATACATATGAGCTATTGATAGAAGCAATTAATATTTGTAAGTGTTTGATACGCACTCTCACCGGAATTCCATGCATTTAGAAAAGTATTACTCTATTGCATTTTTTTTATTTGGTTCAATTTGTTTATTGCTAGAAATTACATTCAGTTATTGTTTTTCTTTTTTGTCTTTCATGGTAGATAGCACTATGCATTTCGGTACTTAAAGTTGTAGGTTCTATTCCTAGTACTTGGTTTGAAACTTTGAATGGTATCAATAATTCAACATAACCTGAAGTAAGGTTCAAGTCTCGTAAGAAAAGTCTAGATGTGCGTTCATCACAAATCTGCATGTCTTATGTTCCACTTGCGGAGTGGTTAGCACTAGCATCGATGATGAGGATCACAATATTGGTGAATGAAAGAAGGTCTTTAGGATAGTTTTGATATGGTAGGACTTATAAATGATAGGGATATAGGACAATTCGGTCAATTCAAGTTTTTTTTTGGTTACTTGGTTAGAGCATCATACTATCTTCCATTCTCTAGTTCCATTGTTCATAGATACTGCTTATAAAGATACGATCTCAAGGCAAATGTTCTTATTACATTATGATTAAGCCTAGGTCAACTTTTATTTTCTGTAATTATAGATGAGCTCATGAATGGGATGCTAGATTATTTTTTTGAAAAGAGAATGAGATGCTAGATTGTATACTGTAACATGTTTTTTGCCAATGATATCATGTTAGGTAATGAGATTATGCAAGCTGTTGATGCAATATGGACCAAGTGTTCAAGATTAAGGGGGGATCTAGTATTTTCTGATCAAGTACTATTGTAGAAACTAATGTGCGACTTTATTAATGTTGTGGAAAATGCTGTAAGCATGTCTCATACAAAGTAACCATAAAGGATATTTTTCGGAATTTTAAATCACTATTACAAAGAAACAGATAGGTAATGATGTTAGCATTAGGAAAGAGACAAATCAATGAAGTGTTAGTGGTTTTTGGAAGCCTATGTGATCTTATTGTTGATAGAGCAAGTTTATAGGATATTGAGGAGAATAGCTAGTTTTGTGGGAAGAATGATGGAGGAGCATTGGGTCACATGCACATAAGATTAGTGTACCATAAAACAAGGGAAAATTGAGATTTACGATGATGATATGTTAAACAATTGGAATGGCTTTGGTTAAGAAGCTGAGGCTAATCTGCTTGAGCTGATTTGTTCATCTCTAACATAAAGATATGGATGCATCAGTGAGAATAGGAATAGATATGGAGGTGATCAAAGATTGACATGAGGGGAAACATAGCAGTCACCATGCATAGTGAGCACAGTGTGCTTTTTTTTAACAACTAAAAAAAAAAGAAACTACAAAATAAATTAATGAAGTGATGGTATTCAAACATAATATACATTTAGATGGACAAAAGTAAAGGAGTGAATTGCATTCTTGATGCCTGTGTTATGCCTCTTTTTGGATTTGGTCCTTAAACGTATTAACTGCACCAGTCGTCCTTGTTTTCTGTTTCATATAACAGATTTGTCCCTTGAGTTAACATCGTTAACTTGAGTTCGGTTAAGTCATGTGCTCCTCATGTGAGGGGCAATTTGGTTTTTTTACCCATCTTCCCACCTATTATTCTTCAAATCAAGAAGCCTAACTTCATTCTTCAAATTTGTTTTATGTAAACCCAAATTCATGCATAAATTCAAGAACATCAAATAGAGAACTAAAATCAAAATCTTCCCCAAAGTCAATAGGTACAGATGAAACCTAGATAACGACTGAACCCCAAAACCCAGGTGAAGATGGAGAGGCAAATCAAAATTGAGTTATGCAAAACCCAGATTCAAATGCAGATAATGATTGAAATCCAGAAAATTTGGAAAAAAGATAGAAATGCAGATTGATGAACAACAAAGGTTTTTGAAAAGAAATCTGCAATTTGACCGCAAATGCAGATCGATTTGAACGTGAAAACCTACTACATCAACACAACCGGGATTAGGGTTTCATTGAATGGCAACACAATCAAATTGTGGATTTCTTGCTGAAGGTGCATGCATACAAACTGCACGCACTCGATTCTCTCCATAGATTTTTCATGGAGAAAGGGAGGGGGTTTGTGGATTAAGAGGAAGTGTGTTTTGCCGGAAGAAGGGCAGCGATAATATATATAATATTAATATTAATTTGTTTTATGTGTATAATATATAATGTAAAATATAAATTTTAAATAAGAGATAATGATGAAAGACCAAATTGCCTCTCATGTAATGTAAGGGCGCATGACTGACTTAACGGACCTCAACCAAATCCAAAAACAGGGCATAACACGGGGACCAAGAATGTAATTCACTCAAAAATATGATATGTAGTATTTTTAACATATTCATCAATAGGGATAAGAATCACAGTCAAAGTTATCATCAGGAAGCAATGGATCATTGGTTGGATGGATGGCACTATCTTTATCATTATTCTCCCTTTCATGGTGTTATTCTTGTTCATCATCTTCAAATTGGTTGTAGTCAACATCATCAACTTTCCCCCATATTGGCCAAACAAAGATTCATCGACTTTGGAGATCTTTGTTTTGGCTTTGTCTTTCCTAGTTGCGCTTGTGCTGGGCCCATGGTCATCTGCATGCATTAGCAAGACCCGGTGCTCTTTCAACTGTTCCCCACATCAAACCATTTGTTCATAGCATTCTTCTATATGGATCAAGTATATGATTGGTACATTGCTCCTGATTTTTACTTCACACACACTATATATTTTATAAATTGGTAAATACCTCCACTAGTTTTCTTTTGACATACCTTACACAAAATCTGTCCTTATTGTCTTCATCACGGATGCCAGATGGCATACTTCCAAGAAGGATCAGTATGAGGAATTGTCTAAACATTCTGAAATTATAAAATATTAACATGAGAAATCAGCAAGTCACCAACACTAAAACTAACAGAAACATTTGATAACCATTAACAGCTATATGCCATGTGCTAAATAGACATGGTCTGGTGCCAAGTAGGTATGATTGCTCTACGTTGCTCCATGGTGCATGTCTGAACTGCTATGAGGGGATATTGAGAAGAAAATGAGCGTGTGAAATATCTCGAAGTAAGCTGTTGATACAAGTGTGTGGAAGCTTTCTAGGATGGGTTTAAGCTTTATACTGGGTTCTATTTCCTGTATACTTCAAATACTCATTGTATATAGACTAACTGGAACATGGTTTTTTGGCAATTGATTCAGTGGGGTAGATTGTACGGAATCTACCTGCTGAGAACATGGGTAAGTTTGATTTTTGATGCTCTACGTCTCTCCCTGTTAACAATCCCTATGAATTGTATTTGTATATGTTGATAAGTGAGACCTAGAATATTTTCGACATAAATTGCATCATGTCCTTGCAGGACCAAATGTTTTACACTTTGAAAATGATGAAGCCTCCTGGGGTCATCATGGGAGACTCAACCCACTGCCCATTGGATTTTTTTCTATGTTCAACTATAGAGATTGATGATTGTGAGAGCATCCTTTTAATCCATTTGACGATACCATCATATTTTTGTATTTTAACCAGTGAGCTGTTACAACTTATGATTGACCATACCGTGTTGAACCAATTTTCACTTGAATGGGTTCTTGCCTATGTGTATGAGCAGGAGATATGTTCACTGAAGAACAAAATGAACTGGTTGAATCAGCAGCTGAGATGTTATATGGCCTGATTCATGTCCGTTACATATTGACCACCCGAGGAATGTCTGCAATGGTATGCTTCTGATCCTTCTTCTTGTTTCTTTATATTCCATGACTCACAGATTTAAGATTCATATATCGGAAACATTATAGTTGGAGAAGTACAAAAATTATGACTTTGGAAGGTGCCCAAGAGTTTACTGCTGTGGACAACCCTGCCTTCCTGTTGGCCAGTCAGACATACCACGATCGAGTACTGTGAAAATATACTGTCCCAAATGTGAAGATATCTACTACCCTCGATCCAAGTACCAAGGCAGTATCCTTTCATTATAGTGCCATGGGTTTATTATCGTGCTTTCAAATTGCATGCTAAACTCTTGATATACCATTCATACATAGAGTTTATACAAAAGTTAAATTAATATTTTCTTGTTTGATAACAGATTTGCTACAAACTTTGCTTTTTCAGTTTTCAGTGAACATGTAAACTATGCATGAGTTTGTACATGCTTTATCCCATGGAAATTGCAACATTTAATTCAACACATAGACACATAGTTCAAGAATGTGTTTAGCACCCTTCAATAATGAACAACTTAGGCGAACTTTATTACTTCATCGTTATTGGTTTGAGTGATTGACCTTTCGGATCACCATACATCACTTTTTGTTGCAAATTAACAAGTGTTCCTGCAAAAAGACAAACCCGACAGCATACTTTGTAAGAATGAACAAACATGGATAAAACTATGCAAATATAATTTGTCCATGATAGTTCATATGCAGTTTTGCAAGAATGATGGTTTCTTTGAAACAAAAAACTGAGTACATAGATGCAAGAAGTTGATCAACTCTTATTTTGTTGTAGTCACGAGACATGACGATTTGCAAATATACAATTTTAGTAAAAGTTCCCAGGAAGAATATGTTGCAATTTTCATGGGACAAACGAGGTAATATGTTTATATTGTTTAGCCATATCATAAAATATGCTTGTTACACACTCGCACCATAAAAGCACGTCTGCTTAATGTCTTTTTTCTTAGTACGAGTCAAGTTTTTTTGTTTCTTTTTCATAATTATTACTACTAAAATCTGTTGTCTATCTTTTCTTTTCCCTCTTTGGGTTATTCTTATGTAATTAAGCATGAGAATGAAGCAATGATACCTATATAGTTTGGTGAACTGCTTGTGTCCATATTTTTGTTCCTTCACTCTCCATAGATATCGATGGTGCTTATTTTGGAACCACCTTCCCTCACCTGTTTTTGATGAGTTACGGCCACCTGAAGCCACAAAAGGCGACACAAAGCTACACCCCGAGAGTATTCGGCTTCAAGCTCCACAAACCATGATGAATCAGTTTGCATACCGGTCTCACTCCATTGATGACGGTGCACTTGTTGTGTTGCCAAGTGGTTCTTCTAACTAGGGCATCGTCCAAAAATTGTGAAAAGAGTTTCGATTTGATGTTATGATCTAGATCTTTTTCTAGCTTATATATTATATGAAAAAAAAAAAAAAACTTTAGATGATTCAATGAGCAGTTGTGAGAAGTTATATGGGAAAATGTTTCATCCTTGTAGCTCATAAATTTGTTCTATGTTACTAGTAGAGTTAAAATGTGTTGTACAAGGTAGTTTTATCTTAATTTTCTTCTCTTGGTTTTAGTTGCTTTAAACCTTTTTCTGTATGCGGGTTTTTGGTTACGAGTTGCATTATGTTTAGTCCTTGGGGTAAAGGAATAACGATCGTGTTACATTTTACCCTCTCTAGCTCTCAAGATTTACTGGGTTCGTTTGGTTTGGTTTTGATCGAACGTGCAGGTTGTGCGTTAAGATGTGTTTGTTATGAAGTTGGTGCTTTTGTTTGGCTTATGGTGCTTGATTAGCTATGATTTGCATCAAGGTTAGTATGAATTGAGAATGTATGAAGAATGTCATTATATGATGTGGATTGTGCTTGACCATGTGTGCTTCATGCTAACTACATAACAATAGCTAGTGTGGTGATATCATTTGTTACCCCTTTGTTTCTTTCAATCAAATTCGGACATCTGTAAAGATATGGAGCCAATACGTAACTCGATAGGGTGGTTTGTTCTTTCAGTTAAATTTGGACATCTGTAACGAAGAAATGGAAAATACCAAAAAATTCGAATTCATAGCTAATAACATTGATTCAAGCGAATACGTAACTATATCGGGTGGTTAGGTATGTGTAGGGGGTGTATATAAGGCTGTAAACGAACCGAACGAACACGAACGGAGGCTTGTTCATGTTCGTTCGTTTAACTTAACCGAACAAACGAACGGTAAACGAACGAAATATTTTGTGTTCGTGTTCGTTCGTTTAGAAATCAGGTGTGTTCGTGTTCGTTTATGTTCGTTCGTTAACATGCTAAACGAACGTAAATGAACGAACATAAATAAATATTATTTGAATTCAAAGTAAATAAACAAAAGATTATATATTAAATTTAGTATATAAACGAACATGAACGAACGAATATAAACGAACAGTAAACAAACGAACGTTCACGAACATAAATGAACGAACAAGACTCTTGTTCATGTTTGTTCGTTTAACTAAACGAACAAAAATATTTGTTTATGTTCGTTCATTTATTAAATAAACGAACTTTCCATCGAACGGTTCGCTGAACGTTCGGTTCGTTTACAGCCCTAGGTGTATATATAAATTGAATGATAGTGAGAAAAAAAAATAGTGTATTGATGTTTTATTGAAGGGAGATGGAGGGAATTAAGGGTGTTTGTGGTACGGTTTGCATAGTTTAACCCCTAAACCACAAACTAAACTGCCATGCTGGTTTTGAATTTTTTTCAAACCGAGCGCTTTGGCATCAATCTGACCGGTTTTTCCCTATTATGTGTTCTAAACTAAAGAAAACATCGAGTTTATCTCTAAAATTAAACTTCTGCCGGTATAACATTATGAAGAAATAATATACCAATTTATAAAAGAACCATCTACATTCAAAATTAAAACAAACATCAATTTAAAGAACTGAAGGACCATTAAGAATCTGGATTTTTGGTGGATTTGGAGAAAACGGGCAATTGATAAGCGAGAACTAAAAAAGTAATGTCGTGGACGATATCCTTTTTTTGGTTGTGTTATAAAAGTTAGTTCTTTAACATTAAAACTAACAATACTTAATAAATATGTATGTGTGCGTATGTTAGCGGTCAGTTCGGTCCAAACTGTATAAAAAATGTTCAAGTCACAAATTGGACCTGAACTATTTTTCAAATCGGATCGAACGACCAGATAACTCAAACCACCAAAAATTGGTCTAGATTGATTTGGTTCGACTGATTTGAAATGCCCAATGATTTTTATAACACCCGTGGAGGGAATAAGAAAAGGGTGGCACGGAAAGCTCAGTATTTGCTTCATTTGACGAAATAAGATGTGATGGTTGATTGAAAATAATATACAAAAAGAAGAATAAAATGACAACGAGAATGACTCTCTTTGCGGATACTGAACAAATTGATGTAAAATGATTAATCGGTTAGATTATTGAAGGATGTTGTATAATTTAGTGTCGAATGAAGAATAACATTTAGGGGGTGTTTGGGATTTGCTTATTTGAAACAACTTAAACTCTTCTAAAAAAACCACTTATCAACTTATTATAAATCAGAAGGGTTTAACTTCTTCAAAAACTCCTTATTACCGGTTTGATACCAGTATAAGTTGTTTATCCAAACACTCAAAAGTACTTATTACCGGTGCCACACTAATAAGTCAATAAATTGTTTTTATAAATTAATGTTCAGAAAAACAAGTCAAATGATGAAAAATAACCATTTTAAACAAATAAAGAAATAGAACTAGTTTTCTAACCAAGTGACGAGCTTGCATTCATCTTGACTAATTTAATAGGATCCTAAAAAACAGCAAGAAATAGCAAAAAGCTCCGTACTCATTGGGGTTTGACCGAGGAACCCTCGAGTTAACCGGGGACAGGGACAGGGACAGGGACAGGGACGGGGACGGGGACGGAGACGAGGATGGGGAATCCCAGAATTTGTTAACCGGGGATGGGGATACCCCTCAAACCCGACCCCGACCTTGAGTATTTATTAATAAGTTTTTATGTATAATATATAAATATATGTGTGTATGTATAATATCATAATAACGACGAAGCCAATGAGTATATATAACACATAATCAGTTCCTGTCAATATCTACGCCAGAAAATTAGCATTGGACGCGATTTCATCCCGTTAATGAGAAGGCAAAGGAGGCTTACCCAGATAGAACTTTTTTCAATACATGATCTCCTCAAAATATAATCAATCTTTGATGATGAGAAAATTTTCAGAAAACATTATAATATTGGTTTGAGTGCTTGGAGAAATTTCTGGTGACAAAACAACGTGGATGTATAAAATTTGAATTATTAGATACTAGTTGTGTACCCGTGCAATGCGACGGCAGCCATGAATTTTAACGATTTTGAAGTTCCACTGGTTTTAAAAGATAAGATTTAACGATGATATAAGTTACACTTGGTCTTTACATATTAATACAATTTGAATAAATAAGAGTTATAGTTCCAATTACAGACTATCGATGAAAAAAAATGTATGACAGTTTAAAATCCAACATATTTAAATGACTCAACAAATGTGTTTGATTTACATCAAGAGCAAAGAACCAAGAAACTTGAGTTTTAAGATAAACACTCAAAACCAATAAAAAAACTACAAATTTGACAGATCATAAGTCATGAAAAGACCAAAAARATGGGTTTTAGAATGAAATTTCAACTGCTTACCCTCTTTCTTGTCCAGAAACTCAAATTAATGTTGAATTAATACATGTATATATATTTCAAAAAAATCCATGAACATATTAATTCAGAACATATTATACAATACAATTTGGACAGTCTAACCCCAAAATATATAGTATATATATATAAATAAATAACTATAAAAGTATAAATCGTAAAYATWAAAAATATTTTTTCACAGTATATATAATATATGATAATATAATTAAGTCAAAAACTATTCAATATWGGACTCATTTCGAAGGTATTAACGAGACGATTATAATGGTGTAACTTGTTAAAATAAAAATGTATTTTTTAAATATGTTTTAATTGATATACGATTATGTATGTTAATTTCATAAAGGTTTAAAATGAAACATTTAAAAGCAAAGAACGTAAAGTAATTAATTAATTATAGGGGTATAAAGTGTAAATTTAAAAGTATAATTAAAAAAATCGGTTTTGAGAGAGTGAGTGTGTGTGAGGAGATGAGGGGGTGAAAAAGTGATGTAAGGTAAGGGTAGTATAAAAGGGTATGTTAGTCATTTAATATTTTAAGACTTTAAGACTTTTGCTAAATTTGTTTAATAAGATAGTATAGTTTATATTTGATATATTTATTTTTGAACTGGTCTTGTACAAATGCAACTATTGACATTTGGTTAATTGAAGTTTTATAATAATACGTCGCTTCGACGTTTAATTGACATTTATAAAATATTATAGAGAAAATTAAATTTTGTAAACAAGGAAAATCCCCAATTCTATGATGGGGATCCCCTACGCCCAATGGGGATGAAGAAGAAAACTTGTTCCCGACGTGGATGGGGATTGCGATCCCCGATATCCCTGACCCTGTTGCCATCTATAGAAACAGCTAAGAAAATCCTCAGTGTCTTTGAAAGGACTCGAGTCAGCAATCTGTGAGGATGAGCTTCAAAGACCCATATATTTATTGCCAATGAGATAAACCGTCAAGATGTGCAAAGATACCATCTTGGTACTTGGATCGAGGGTAGTAGATATCTCAAATTTTAGTATAGTTTCATAGCACTTGAATGTCGTACATACGATTATTGGGCACCTTCGAAAGTCATAGGTTTTGTACTTCTCTCGTTGTTGCATTTCCAACACCAAAACATGTATCGAGCCGTACAACGTCTTTGTTGCTGATTCAACAAGTTTATTTTTGCTCTGTAATGAACATATCTCTTGTTCATATACATAAGCATCAAAGCGTTCTTAGCACAAGAAAGCTAACGTGGTGGATAGAAACAAGGAAGAAACAAATCGGGTTCAAATCCTGTCACCTACATGTGCGTCTTTGGTCATCGAGAGATTTACCTTACAGTCGTGACTTGCGATGAGATTAGTTTCGACGAAGCAAAGATGATGCACCAAATTTCAACAGATGCTTGCATAAAGGTGGAAAGATTAAAAAACAGCCTTACAATAACAGATTTTTCAAAACCATAGGAACAAAAACCACAATTTCTAACTGATAACTTGAATGTGATTTTGTAAGAGATTTTAACTTTTGTTTTTCAATTTTAAAGAAATTATAAAAAATCTGATAGAGATGCTCTAAGAGCATCTACAGTGGTAGAACCTCGAAAAACCTCATTTTTCATATTTTCCTGATACATCATTGACGTATCAACAAAGGGGAGTGCTAATGGCACCCCCTTAATAGGGGTGTTGATTAAGTTGGGAATTGAACCAATCATGTCTTTTAATAAACATCAACTCAATTAATTATATATTTATATTTTATTTATTTTGTTTTATTTATATATTTACATTAGAAAAATATATATTATTTTATTATTTTTATGTTACTTTATTATTTTATAATTT